CCCCCTTTTTATATATTGTTTTATTGTTAACGAATTTGCACGCATTTACGTCTTGGACTTACGGTTAGCACCGAGTCCCTGAGGAGACGACCCTACTTATCGCTATCACAAGTGTGTTTTAGAGATATTAGGCGTATTTTCATAAATTTTATTATTTGCCGGACTCGACACCCGTCAAGATTACATCAATGTCGGGCACACCAAAGTTTTCTTAAAGAAATCAGGGGGGAGAAGACTTGAAGCTTTCAAGATATGCTTACTTTATAAAACTTTCAGGGTAGTTTGTTAGGACTAAAATAATCCTAAATGTTAGAAAGTTTTATAAAGTCAATTACTTTGTATTGTATTGTAATATCATTGTAATTAGGCTTAAGGGTATTGGGCTTTCAATGTAAATGTCACCTATAAATAGGTGACATGAGTTTAAAATTAGAGTAGATTATTCTAGATGATCATTGACTGAGAGTGTTTGTAGTTTACTGCTTTCATGAATAAGAGAAACGGCCGGTTCTTCATGTTCTTGGATCATCTTCTTCATCTCTCAATATGTTTTATCAATTTATCTTGAATTGATGTTAGATCTGGGATCCATAGTGGGTTTGATGCTCGTACTTCATTGTAAAATAACAACGATAAATATTGTTGTTTTCATTTATCTCTTAAAATCATTTTCTAATTTGAAAGTATTTGAGACGGTGATGTATTTGTTATGTAAAAAAAATTCCAAGCAACATTTTCATTGAATGTTGGGTGAGAATTGGGTTGCATCTTGACATAACAATACCAAAGGTATGTCCTCTATCAGGACATGCAATTGATGTTTTCATTCATGGCGGTGTTTGATCCCCTTTCGTCAATACTGATCTACATATCTGAGCCTTGCTTGCCACAATACACCATCTAATTCCTTCAATTATGTGATCTTATTGATTAGTTATACTTTTATGATTCATTTTATTATATTTTGATTTATTTGTTTTGCAAAAAAAAAATTGAAAATCATCTGTAGACATTTACATTTCCGTAAATGCAATTCCTAAATTGCATTCGATGAATATAATCATCAAGAAGTTCGTTTTTTTGATGAACACAGGAGTACAAAATGGCTAACCAACATAGGTATTTTAAACATTAAATTCCAAAGATCTAGCACTTGGATATATAAAAGAAATCAGGACAGAGTAAAACTTCAAATGTAAATGAATCTAGAAGGACTTGTTTTATGATTTTTGAACATTACAGGTAATCCAAAGATTGCTTAAGCTAGGGATGGAAACGAAAGGGGTATTCGGGGTAGA